CTGTGATCACGATGTCGAGGAGCTCAGACACCCGGGTGCACACCTCCCCAGAGGCTCTCTTGCTCTTCATAGCCTGATAGACCATCTCCAGGCTCAACTCCTGCAAACATGTCAGCATATGTATCACTGCAACACACGACACCAACAACACACAACAACAACTTGCACTTATATAGCGCCCTTCACACAGGGTAGTGTCTCAGAGCGCTTAACAGTGGCGGAGCCTGACTCCGAGCCGGGGAAGGGGGGAGGTGGCCATAAGCACGGTCGAAGTGGAAAGTTTTCAGGCGGGCCTTGGGAAAGAGGAGAGAGGGGGCCAGGCAGAGGGATTGAGGGAGAGTGTTCCAGAGTCTTGGGGCGTAGTGGCTGAAAACACGATCTCCGATGGTGGAGCGGAGGGTGCGAGGGATGAGCAGGAGGCCGGTGCCAGTCAAGTGGAGACGCCGGGTGGTGGATTGGGGAGTGGAGAGGTAGGGAGGTGCCAAGAGTGAATGGATTTGAACACGAGTGTGAGGATCTTGAAGTTGATCTGTTCGGTGATGGGGAGCCAGCGGAGCCTGGCCAGACTGGTGAGATGTGGGTACAGAGTTTGGTCTGGGTCAGTATGGGAGCAGCAGAGTTTTGAATCAGCTGGATCTTTTGAATGGTGGAGCTGGGGAGACCGGCGAGGAGTGCGTTTGAGTAATTCAGGCGGGAGGTGAGAAACACATGCACAAGGGTTTCGGCTGCATTTGGGATGAGGTACGGTCAGAGGCAGGCAATATAGCTAAGGTGGTGCCGGACCGGGACCGGATGTGGGGGAGGAAGGACAGCTGGGGGTCGAACTGGAGGCCTAGATTGCACACTGGTTCAGTGAGTCTGAGGAAGAGCCCACGGAGGTTGAGGAGTTTAGATCCACAGGAGTGAAGACGTTGACAAGAGCCAAGGCGTATGGCTTCCGCCTTGTCCATATTCAGCTGCAAGAAGCCCACAACACAGTAACGTTCAACACCGCAGCATGGCGACACAACAACTTGTGTTTCTGCAGGGCCCTTCCCGCAGGAGAGTGTCTCACTGCGCTGCGCGGGGGCAGTTTTGGGATGCTGAACGACAGAGAAAAGCGCAGTCCAACAGGTAGGTCTTAAAGAGGGAATTAAACCTTGATAAAGAGACTTGTCTCTTGCAACACAACAACAATTTGCATTTATATAGTGCCCATCACGCAGGGTAGCATCACAGAGCACTTGACAGTGGTGGAGCATGATGCCAAGGGAGGAGGGAGAGGTGACCATAGGCACAGTCGAATAGGACGGTCTTCAGGCACGACCTGAAGTTGGGGAGGATTGAGGGAGAGAGTTCCAGAGTTTTGGGGCGTAGAGGCTGAAAGCGCGACCATGGATGGTGGAGTGGAGGA